ATATTCTATTTAAATAATATGATACCAAAGATAATGATTTCTAAATCTGTGTAATATTTTTTATAATACACAATTATTTATCATCATCTACCTCTTTATCTACAATATAAAATAACTTATTAATTTCAATAAAACCAACACAATAATCAATAGCTGATGAATCAATAAATGCATATAACCCTAACTAACTAAATGTCTTCATACTAGTACTATCTTTTTTAACAGGCAATGTCTACTAAACATATGCCAACATTACTTTTGATTCTTCGAACTTATAAACTAAATAATATTCTACAATAGCATAAAAATCTTGAACTTCGAATACTGATAGTCATTTAGAATAGTTCACATAAATATCTACTCCTATCTTTACCATAACAGTATAATTAATTTGTGACCAGTTTTTATTATATTAAATCCATTTTGACCTAATATAATAGCCGTCTTTTGTTCTAAGCCAACTATACTTTGTTTCTGTTTGACTAAAAAACATAAGCTGCAACCTGAACACATCTGATATAGTAGAAAAATGTTATTTAATTTTTCTTAATTTAGCCTGTGTTAATTTATATAGAGTTGAAGGAAAAAAGAAATTTCGTCTATCTTCTTCAGTGTAAGCCAGATGTTCATCATAAATTTTGGGCAAAATTGATGAAAAAATTTGGTTATATATTATTCAGTTAAATTTTAAACAATTAAAAATTTTATGTAAATGAATGTTATTAGTAAGATTCTTGTACAGATGTAATTTCAATTTAGTTAGAAGAAGTAGCATTCCATATATTCTTTCAATTGGATATTGCCATGTTGCACAACAGGGTCTAGTTTGAAAGATACTTTCTGAAACATGCAATATATTATATATACATATTTTCATTGTGCTTAAACATTCTGATAGCCTACAATAATACTCTTTTTTATAATGTCTATAAAATGCTAGAAGATATGATCTAATTTTATTTAAATCATCATATGTTATTATTCTTTTTTAACATAATTATACAGCCTTTACAAATAATCTTCATCTTTTTTATATTTATTAGGCAATTAATTTTTAAGAAATGGTAGTGAATACATTGTAATCCAAGAGGACCATTCTTCTGCTTTATGGACATAGTAATGCAAAACAATGTTTTGCAATAGCTGACCCAAACTTGATGAAATGTTTTTCATACTAAATGCATTTTATTTCCAATTTTATTCTACGTTTTTTTGTTTAAAATATATTCACCATTATTTTGATCTTGATCAGTAAAAAAAGAATGCATCTAATGAGCCAGCATATAACCAGCAATGTTCTTATAAAATAAGTGCATAATATCCACAGAGAATGTATTTAGAAAGTTGGTAGTATTGAGATTAAATAATATACTTTGTTTGCAAATACCATAATGTTTTATTGTTTGATTTTTTTCTAATTGTGTTTGTGCTTTTTGAATTTTTTTTATTGTCTTTTGAATTTATTATAAGTTCTAATTAGTAAATTTTTAGAATCATAAGTTTCACTATTCTGATCACTGTGTGGTTTGTAAGATAATATTATGTGAAGAATAAATGCTTTTATATTGCAATAGCGGCATTCTTTATATGAAATATGTCCTGTAAGACATATTAATTTTGTAAGCGCAGGTGTGTTACCAGACCAAGATAGTACACAACCACATAATATGAATGTATCTTCATGTTGAACACTAGGGCACACTACTTCTTCTTCTAATCTTTGTAGTTTAGAAATAACAGAAAATAAAAAAGAATTTAGATCTTTCAGTTCTTTTAGACCTGGTATAATTGTACAAATCAAAAAATTTCTTTTTTTACATATATTTTAGAAGATAAATTTGCATTCATAAATAGCAGAATCCAGCAGTTATCTGTTTTCTGTTTAAAAATTTGAAACCCATCAATCAACACTAATAATGCAACATTATACTTTTCTTTAAAATATCCTCTTTGTACTAGGTCTTTATATCATTGGCCATTGAACATATCACCAATTTTTTCATTACATTGATATTCTGGCTTTGATACATATTCTGAATGATAAAGTAGATTTTTTGTTTGTTTTGCATCTTGGTATTGCATTATAAAATGATCAATAATTGGAAAATATGCAAATTTACAATGTGTTTCAGGATCTTTGCTATTATGAAATTCAGCTTGATATTATTCTTTTTGCAATATGAACATTCTGTAAGATTACTATAATTGCCAGTATAAGCACAACAGGTATTGATACACATATCTATTCACACAAGTTTAAATAGAATTAATGATAATAGTTTTTTTTAATTAAATATAAGCTCATAGGTTTTGTAACTACAGCCTTCATGATTTCAAAAAAGGCTTCATCAGTAAGATTATTTTGCACTTTAATTTTCAGAAGTTGAATCATAGTAGCAAGTTTAGGAGATATAAAGGGTATATTTTCTAATATTTAATTATATGTAAATAAATAAAGTTGCTTTAAATAAATAAAGTTGTATACTAGTAGATATTATAATGTAGTATATTATCTTCAATATCCATATTACTTGTATCTGTTATTGTTGAATTATTACTATTACTTTCTGACTCATTATTAGAATCTTCATACTCAAGCCTGCTCATATACTCATCACTACCCTCTAAACTATTTCTAATTCATTATAGTTCTTAAATTCATTTTTACTCATTAAACTATTCACTGATTCATCATTATCTTCAAATTCATTTCTACACTTTAAATTATTCACCTATTTATCATTGTTCTTAAATTTATTTTTACTCTATAAACTATTTTTTCATTCATCATTGTCCTCAAATTTATTTCTACTCCATAAACTATTCTTTAATTCAATATTGTTCTTAAATTTATTTTTACTTTCCAAACTATTCACTAATTCATCATTGTTCTCAACTTCATTTTCACTTTTCAGACTATTCATCAATTCATTACCATCATCAAATTTATTTCTGCTTTTCAAGCTATTCACTGATTCATCACAATCTTCTAATTCATCTCTACTTTTCAATTTATATATTAATTCGTTTTTATGCTCTAAACTATCCTCTAATTCGAACCTACTTCCAAATTTATCTACTTCTAAATTATTATCAAAGTTACTATAATTTTCTAAATTATTCTCATAATCTTGATAGGCTTGCAGAGATTCTTCTGAATTTAGATTAAACTCAGCTAAATTTTGATAAAAATTATTGTCAGTAGCTAAAATTTAAATGTTACTTTGTAATGTTGAATCATTACTAAGACATTGGATATTTTATTTATCATGTCTTCGATGCCTAGTTTTAGCACTTTTTGATATTCATGAACCACCATCATTATTTGATGAGCACAAATAACAAGTACACTACACCAATATTTAGAAATTATATTGATAATTTTTTTTTTTTTAAAAAAAAAAATCAATAAAATAAATAAATATATATATATATTTTTTGATTTAATTAGTCAAATGTTAAAATGTTCAGAATTATATGTTTATGCTTCTATTTTGTAGCAAGAATGTTTGGGTCTCAGACCTTTTTTAAATAATTAATTTCTTTCATATTAAAAAAAAGAGTTTGTTGTTTGTCTTCTCTATCTATTTTCTTATTTTATTAACTTCAACTAACACCTTTACTTCTTTAATTAACTCCAACCAACACCTTTACTTCTTTAATTAACTCCAACCAATACTTTACTTCTTCAACATGCAAGATTAACACAAATATTCATTTTACATTAGTTTGAGAGAAAAGATTAGATCTCTTATTAATCACTAATTTTTTTCTTTTATATAACTGTTCATACAAACCTATTTTATACTTTATTATTATTGTTATACAAAAATCAATTATAAATACTAAAATAGTAATAATATGCTACGTATGCAGTATTTAAAATAAACTTTACATGTATAAAATTCTGGTTTTACCAATGAATATTTATAGTTAAATTAACTATATATGATCTAAATGTCAATTACATTATATGTTACCTAGTATTACCAAGTAATCCTTATCTAATAATAATTTGCAATACATGTAAAATATAGTATATATGATATTTATGTGTGAAGCTTTACAATGTTTACTGATTGTTACTCTAAAATGAGTCTATTATATATATATATCAATATATATACATATTTGTGTATATGACAATTGATCTCTTTTTTTATAAAATATATTTTCATGATAAAACAATAATTATATATTTAAAATAAAATGAGTTTAAACAAAACTAAAAAACAACTAAATAATAAAAATAAACAAAGAGCAGATATAAGTGAAGAAGAAGACTCAAACCAGTCTAAGATAAAGTTTGAAATAAATGAAAATGGATCAGATTTTAATATTGATAATGTTAACCTACAAAAACGACTATAACTCTTGAACTACTAGACAAAATTCAATAAAACTATCACCATTCAAATCAGCTTACTGAGACAGTTCTAACAAGATATAGACATCTATTTCTGATCACAGAATCACAAGATCGAATTCAATAACTAAATTAATAAGGAAACTGTGATCTGATTGGTTGATGATAATTGCACGAAATATCATACATATAACATATATCAAATTTATGCATTTTGAAGCATCTATATTTTATATTATCTTTAGTTTATATATATTATTTAGTTTATTTCTTTTATTTATTT